TAGGTGGGGTGAAGGAAATGGGAAAGATCTTTTGTGAAAAATAATGTATTCAAACTTTGTAAATAAATCAGAATAAAATAGAAAAGGGTGGGGGAGAAGGATTCCCTTCCATTTTCATTATTTACTCACCTCTTTAAAAGTGATAATTTTCAATTATTTAGATACCAGGTCTAGGCCAGACCTCACAGCTTGAGGGGCAAACTCTTCCAAACTGCCATGTCTGTTGAAGACTCAATATGCTAGCAGCAAGTTTTGGAGGTCCTCATGACTTAATGAGTCTGCCTACTTGATTTGGCTGAGTTATTCATTAGACTGGCTTAGAGATCTCAGAAAAAGACTTCTTATTACAGTTTTGTTGTAATTGTGTACCATCGAATTGGAACTGACCCATAGGTGACCCTTCAGTGGATTTGCAGAGGCAGTAAAGTGCATGGGAGGAGATTACTCATCTTTCTCCCTTGAAGCAGTTGGTGGATTTGAATTGTGAACCTTTGCATTGAAAATGCAAAATGGATTGCATACCAATGAAGGAGTTTGGGGGGTTTTTTTCTTTTTGAAGAGAGGAGAGAACTGGGGGGGATGGGAGGGGCAGGGAGAAAAGTGCAACAATGAATGAATGGAAATCCAAAATCCCTGTAAATGTTCATTAAAATGAATTAAAAAAGAAAAGAAAATGCAGTTCCCTACTACTAAGCCACCAGCACTCCCTGGTACAATTTTAGTGTAGCAAAAAGGCTATAAATGAATACACTCATAAAGCAGAGTAAGGAATGATCCTTCCATGGCTCCCAAAAGGTTTGTGTCACCTTCTTGATCTCCTATGTCTTTAACTAACCAGTGTCTCATGGAGATGTCTAGATCTTTAATACTGAGATTCTATTATGTTGGCTTTATGGATTGACTCACCACTCTCTTGGTTGCACTCAGCCTCCAGCCTCCGTAGCTGGAGTTGCCAGTCTCTACATGAGTCACCTTGTTTACATAACCACTTTAAAAAGATTGGGTGCCATCAGAGATAACAAAACAAATTCAATAACTAATGACATTTTAAGAGTTGAGAGGCTAACTCTCAGGAACAAAAAACAAAGACCGGATTCTCTGAATTCAAAACCCATAACCTGACAGATTTTTAGACAGAATAGTACAGCTTCATAGAATTGTCAAGGCCATAGGTCTTGACGAAAGTCGATTGTCACATCCTGTGGAGTGCTGATGTGTTCAAACTGCTGGCCTTTCAGTTACCAGCCACACGTGTGACCACTGCACCATCAGACCTTTCCTGCAAAGAAGTTTTACTTAGTCACTTTTGTCTCTTTTTATATTGCTTCTAGATGCTATATATCTTAGAAAAGTTTCCTGATCCCCATACTGTAGAAATTCCTCTTAATTCATTGATTTTCCCCAAGAACTTTTAAAATTAATTTTTTTGCATTTAGACTTCTGAGCTAATTGTTGTGAGATCTAAGCTTTTCCAAAATAACTACCTAGTTGCCTCAACATTATTTATGGGGGAAAACCTGCCTTTTCTCCAGTAATTTGATGTTGCTTTTACATAACAAGTTTTCCCATATGTTTAGTTCTACAGTTTTTTAGCTTATACTGTTGTTGCCTGATCCTTTTCATCCAGCCATGCAATGTTTATCATAAAAACTAGAACTGTTATTCTTAATGTCCATTCATCCCAGCCATCCATCTTTTTATGTTAAATCATCTTGTCCATGAACAAAGTATGTTTCTCTTCATTCTGGTCTACTTTTGAAACTTTCAATGACATTATAAAGTTTTCTCTATTATAATTTTACTCATTTTTCATTATGTTTAATCTTAGTTTTGTTATCATTTCATTGTTAAAAATAATCTTCCCTTTTTTTAATCTTCTCTCTGCATGTGTGTAAACTTATTTTTGTATGTTATCTTACATAGTTCACTGTATTAACGTATGATTTATTTTCTTAATTGTACAGGCATACTATCTCATATTTAATGAACTGAGTTTTATTAATTTTTTAACCAATTCATTTGACTAATTTTTTTTTTCTAACCTGTCAGATAGTTTTACCAAAATTGGGCACAATAATAATGATACTTAAATTTGATAATGTTTTAAAAAACTATATACTGGTGATATTTATAAATACTGAGTATAAATAGAAATCAGATCTCTCCTGATAAAATACCCAGATATTAATGTCTCTTATTTATTCCACAATCAACACTCTTGCCACCAGCAGTCAGGAATTCAAAAGATAAATTGCACTTGGAAAATCTACTGTCAGAATACTGAGGAATAGTGAAGTCATTTAGAGACCAAAGTGCACCTGATCCAACCCATGGTCTTTGCAGTTACTTACTATGCACCAGGGAGCTGGAGAATGACTGAGGATAACAGAAGAAGAATCAATTCCTTTGAGTTGTGCTGGAGAAAAGTATTGAACATACCATTGACTGCCAGGAAAATAAACAGATCTGTCTTGGAGAGGATGAAACCAAGCTGTTCCTTGGAAGCAAGGATTTTGAAGCTCCATTTCACATACTTTGGACATGTGGCCAGAAGGGACCATTCCTTGGAAAAGAACATCACGTATAGAAGGGTGGTGGGAAAGCACAGGAGAGGAAGACTTAGAAGAGATGGGCTGACGTAGTAACTAGAGTATTAGGGTTGGTGTGTTGGAGTTACTGAAACTGGCTCTGGAGAGGGCAGGCTTCAGAGCTATTCACCTAGGGTTGCTGTGAGTCAAAGGTGACTCAATGGCACATTATAACAATGATGTCTCCTTTACTATTCAAGTGTTTGAGAACAGCAACTATGCCCCCCTTCAACTTGTTTTCCTGTCACTTATATACATGTTTGATTAAAGATAAATGAATTTTATATAATAAAACTCAATCTACATAGGTTCTTTTACTAATGAGTATTGAATAATAAGTATCTTCAGAAAAATTAAAATTGAACATATGGCATGCTAGAAGTGTGAGAGAGAAATGGACATTGTTCTCTCAAATCCTAGTTCTACTTCTATAAACAGACTTTAAATTAATTCTTTTTTTCATTAATTATTTCTTCTCTTGCACTAGGCTTTTAGAACTTCATCTGGGAGAATATGTAGAGCAAAATTGTTTAGCTTATTCATAATATAAGTTCTGCATAATAATGGTTGTTTATTTTTAGCATTTAAAAAGAAAGGGAAATTGCTTAGAATGTAGTCTCCTTCACTTTAAGTAGCTTTGATAGGTATATCAGACCATTGTTTTCAGATTATAAACTCCTCAAGGACCAGGGCTAGGTTTCATTAGTACCTCCCCCTCCCCCAACTCCCAGTAAGTATAATGGCTTTTGTAGCTAATAGATTTTCAAGTTGATACATTTTCCTTAACCCCCTTTTTTTTCCAGTTACTGTATATCTCCCTACTAGATTGGTATGTGCCATCGAGTCAGAACTGATTCATAGCTTACCCTCCAGTAGTTTTCATAATAAATAAACCACATGGGAGGTGATTGACCATCTTTCTCCCTCAGAGCAGCTAGCTGGTGGATTTGAACCACCTGCCTTTGGGTTGGCAGCACAACTCCTTACCCACTAGGCCACTAGAGCTCCCTTTCTCTATTATGTTGTTGCTGTTAAGTGAGTACTCATAGTGACCTTGTGAACAACAGCTCTAAACCCTGTTCCATCCTGTGCCATCCTCACAATCTCTGACATAATCGAGCATATTGCTACAGTCACTATGTCAGTCTATCTAGTGGAGGGTCTTTCTCTGTTTTACTGACGCTCCACCTTTCCATTCATGATATCCCTCTCCAGAGAAAAGCGTCTCCTAGTAACATGTTCAAAATATGGAAGATAAAGCTTTATTACTTTTGTCTCCTAGGAGCACTCTGACTGCCCCTTCTCCAAGACATATCTGTTCTTTGGTCAGTCCATAGCATATTCAGTATTCTTCTGTATTCACCCCAAAATTGTATTCTCATTGCCCTCAAGTTGGAACTAGTAGCTGACCTTCTGTTGTGTTTCAAAGGCTGCAAATGAAACATGAAGAGATTGCCCATCATTCTCCTGCTTGGCTAATAGATCCCAACCTCTAGAGAGGCATGAATTGTGGGTTAACAACACAGTTCTCTATAGACTACTCCTCCAGAGCTCAGAATTACATTTGGCACATTTTAGATACTTAAGAAAATTGTTTAAGTATATAACAGCCATTGGTTTCTGGATGTTGTTGTTGTTGTGTACCATCGAGTCAGAACCGACCTATAGCTGACCCTCCAGCTGGTTTTCAGAGGCAGTTAATCACACAGGAGAGATTGCCCATCTTTCTCCTAGGGAGCAGCTGGTGGATTTGAACCATATGCCTTCAGGATTGCAGCTCATTAGCTAATGTATTTGACCTTAGAATTATACATCTTGGAAAAGCTATTTTAATTGTCTAAGAATTAGAACAAACAGGACTGATATGAGGAACAGCAATATTTTCTATGTTGTAATTCAGACCTTTGTTTGCTTTTAGATATACCTGTACAGTATGATAAAATTCCCATATGAACTAGATGCATATGTCCCTCTGTCAGAGCAAATAAAAATATATAATCTCTTCATATGCTGGCTGTCTGACTTTATTATAAATTAGGAGAGATCTAAAAAATATTGCTTTGGTATGGCTCAGAATTAAGGAACTCTAAGTGACTTTGAATTCATTACTGAATTGCAAAATTATCTAAACTTTGCTAAAGGAAGTTAGTTTTAGTTAAAAATGAAGTTCAGGAAGACTTACAAGTACATTGGGACTCCTTGAGAACATTTGTTTTTGTTAAACAATCTATTATCATTCTTTGGTATATAATCATTTAAAAGACTTGAAAATATTACAAAATTAGCAAACTAATTGCTGTATTCAGGATAGGAATCTTTAATTGGGAAGGTTCCCATCTCAGTTAATAAAGAATACTTTGTTTTCTGTTCATCCCCAGAATCTAAAGCTGTTAACTTCATTTTGCATTGTAGTGTATGCAGAGAGTATTTTCAGAATGGTGGGAAGAGAAAAGCACTTGAGAAAGATGAAAGAGCAATCCTTGCCACCAAGACCACTCCAGCCTTCAATATGCATGAGTCTTCTAAACGGGAAGGCCATTTAACCAACCTCAGCTTTAAAAACCCTGAACTGATAACCGAGTAAGTAGACCCTTCCTACTGAATAATTCACATGATTCTGACCAGCTGTGTAATAGTAAACATTATGTAAGTTTGCTCGAATTAGTAGGCCAGAATATGTGTTCCTTATGTGTGCATGTAACATATAACCATATGCGTATTAACATTATGCAGAGAAATTAAACTTGTGACTTTTTTTCCCCTTTTTCCATGTCAGACGGGTAATGTGCCCATGTTGTAACAAGTTTAAAAGGGCAGCACATATACAAAAGCATGAACTCCCAATTATCATGCTTATGAACTAGAAAAGGATCTAAACCGTGGTACCATTTAGAAAGCTGGCATACATTTTTAAGGACCTTCTGGAACATTTGGTTCTGTAGCTTAGAATGCCCTCGCTGAAAATAAGAAACAATACTCAATTACATGTTAAAATAACTATTTTTGTGACGATACATGGAATCAAAAAAGCAAAATCTAATGAAAGAATGGTTCTTTATATTGACTGTCAATTAGGATGTCGCAAGAAAAAAGAAACTGAAAAGAACTAATTTAACTGATTGCCATTGTTTTATTGTCAAAACTAAAATCTGCCTGCTAATAATATATGTTATGCTCATCTCATTGCTGTCAAGTCAGAACCAGCTCACAGCTGACCTTCCAGTGGTGTTTGAGTGTGTAAATTCCAAGGAAGGAGATTGCCCATCTTTCCTGCTGGTGGAGCTGATTCACCAGAGAGGCGCCCTCTTTGGGTGAGCAGCACAGCTCTCCAGAGACCCTATTGCCAGAGTTCCCTGATGTACACAGAAACAAATTTTATAACTCCATGAGTATTTTATTAATTTTATTAATAAGCTATTAATTTTATTGTTATTATTAAAATCCTTTATACATCCTAGTGCCATAATAGATGTTCAGTACCAAGTAATATTTTATTAATCTCTTGAAATGCTAAAACGTCAGTAATTCTAGAAACATTTTTGAAAGATACTGAAAGCAAACCATGACAATTAAACAAAAGTCTTTAAACAAGTCCAGATTCAGAAATACAACTGTGGTATTACTTGTGGTTACATTGACTTTAAATCATGTTGAAAATACTCTAGTTCGTTATAAGCAAACAGGGTACTCCTTGGAGGGAAGGATGGTGCCACTGCCTATCATATAGACTTTGGGCCTGTTTTCAGGAAGCACCAGTCTTTGGATAAAAGACATCTTGCTGCCAAAAGTAGATGGTCAACAAGAGAGGAAGACCCTCAATGAGATGGCTTGACCATCAAAACTCAACTCCTAACAATAAAATGAATTAAAACTGTTAAAAATGAAATGGCTTGGCACAGTGACTTCAAGTCTATCAGAGATGATGAGGATGATGAGCCTGGAACAGGGTAGGGCAGGGTTCATGTTCATTTCATAGTGTTGCTGTGAGTTGTAATTAGTTCCATGACACCTAACAACGAGGTACAGAATATGTTACCCTACTGTGTATGTTATTAGTAAGAATCCCAGTCAATAGTAGGCTATTAGTAATTAAGTTTTGAGGTGAGTCAAAAATTATGACATGGCTTTTTGACTGCTCAGTGCCTCAGCATCCCTACCTCCCATATTGTTCAGCGGTCAACTGTAATCTTCTGGTCTACAGCTCAATAAAGATTACAGCCTCAGGCCGTAATCGGATTGATCTGCAGGCTTTCCCTGTTTCACACTTTTACTGACAACGTTCTGTGAAGGTTTTCCAGGATTTTCTTCAAAGTTAAGTAGAGCTTCCAGCAGGGAAGTTGTAGTTTTTCCAATTCAGTAGAATTTGCACTCTAGCTGAGCCAGAGGTGAGAGTAATGGGAGAAAACAGCTCATTCGAGAATGCTGCAGATCTCTACTGGTCTCCCCCTAAGGTCAGCCAGTTTTCATGAATACACATTGCTCAGCTGATTCATTGTGCTAGAGCCAAGAACTGGTTGTTTATTATAGTTTTGTCCAATTTTAAAGTTGTTCTTGAAGTGTAGGTTTGCCAACCTGTTTATTCTACCATAGCTCAAATTCTCTGGTTCTGGTTTCGTTTTTATGAAGAGAAGTTAATTTTCCTAATCTTAGTATGACATGGAGCCCTAGTGGCCCAGTGGGGAAGGAACTGCATTGCCAGCAAGCAGGTCAGATTCACCAGGTGCCCGAGGGAGAAAAGGGCCATCCTCTCCTATGTGATTTACAGCCTCTAAAGACATACTGGATGGTCAGCTGGGAACCGGCTCCTATTGGATGGTACATAACAACAGCAATATTAGGAGAAGCCCTGTTGTATAGTGTTGGGCTGCTAACCAGAAGGTCAGCAGTTTAAATCCACCAGCTAGACCTTGTATGAAAGATGAGGCAGGCTGCTGCCCATACGCTTTGCAGCGGGGAACACAAATGGAAGGTTGCTATGAGTTGAAATCAACTTGACCAGCAACAGGTGAGTAATATTAGGGGATCTGGGTTCTTCTCTCCAGTTCACCTTTTTCCTAAGTATTTTTAATTGACAAAAAAGAAACAGAAAGCCCAACGATATTAAGACTTTGCAGGAGCTCATTGCAAGTTGATACTCTTTCCTGAAGGAGAACATAATGAAAAGAATCTTGCTTGATAAATATTATTA